GCGGCGGCGGCGGCGGCGCGAGCAGGGCACAACCCCCCGCAGAGCCTCCCCAGCCGCAGGGCACGCAGCAACCGCCCGTTTCAGTTCTGCAGACGGTTGTTTGCGAGCCGCGCTCAGCGTTTCTGGAAGCTTCAAACACCAGTCGCCACATGACGTGCCATTTGCACAGAGCCAAGCAAGTGGAACAGAGCGCGTCAGGAAATCAGCGAGTGCTCTTGTGTGTCACGTTTATCATTTAGGATCGATTATTCCAGCCTCTCTCCTTGCAATACGTACAGAAGCTGCTCTGGCTTTGGCACTGCTAGTGCTGTGGCCTGCACTGGGCCGAGGTCCCAGGTTTGCCGCGGCGCTTGCAGAGCTCCCGGGAGCAGTTTGGAGCCCCCGGGAGCGCCCTGGAGCTCCGCAGCTCCGGGCAGGCGCTCGGCATCTGCAGCACGAAGCTCCTTCACTTCCCCTGCTGGAGAGGCCACAAGTCGAGGCAGCGAGCGGAAGAAAGGAGGGACTCCTTCTCCTCCGTAATAACAGCCCAGCATCCTGTTTTTAGCTCCCACGCTATTTATGAGGCTATTCACAMGATCCTTCTGGAAGAAGCACCTCTGCTTGCCACAATTATTAATGCAAACGGTGCTGAGCTAGCTGCCTTTCCTGAGAACATATTAAATAGCAGACTAAGAAAAAGATCAATATCAGGAAATGTGAACCTCTGCTGTTTACAATCAATCCTTCATTACCTTGCAGCTATACAGGCCTAATAATAAGTAGAATATTTTCTGATTTTTATCACTATAACATGGTTAGTCACAGATTTTTAACACTTTCTACCAGAATCTATTCAAGCACATACTTTACAATAAAAAAACATATCTAGATAAATATTTTTAAGTGCAGCCTGAGAAAGCAGACCAGATGTTTCCAATAGAGGCTGGGCCTCACCACCCTCCAGAAAATGAGAGTTTCCAAGGAAAAGGTACCCCCTGCTCAGAGGCAGGTGTGAAAGGGGAGCTGCACAACCTTGCTGCCCACACGGACGCACACACTGCTGTTAAGGTGTGGGCAGCGTCCTGCAGAGCTGCGTCCGGGCTGCTGGCGAGTCTGCACTCATAAAGCCGGCCCGTTTTCCTTGTGCTTCGAAACCCTTGACTGCTTGTTAGAAGGAGAAAATGTGCCCATCTCCTAGGGCAGACAGGATGTAGCACTGAAAGTGCAGCAAAACTTATATACACAAGCAGCAAAAAGCMAATTTTGTCAGTTTTTAATGGAGGCAGGGTTAAACCTATGTTGTTGTACTACGTTTGCTGGAGCCTTATTTCAGAAGTGCTGGAATAGGCATTCGGTTTTCAGCAGGAAGTTTTACTGCATATTTGGTTATTAAATACGTCTGCACCGCTCAGTCCAGGTTCACTAGTCTGACAGTGAGCAGAACAGTAAAGTGGAAATACAAGCTCTGTCAGTAACAGCACAGCTCTTACAGGTGGGGTGAAATTAAAACACACTGAAGGGAGGAAAAGCCTAACAATTATTTTTAAAAAATGCAACACCTATTTGTTTGATGTTTTATTAATGATTAATATTCAATCCCAAAGTATGAGCTATGGGTGAATGTCAACACTCAGCCTTTCAGCTTCGTTTTGGGCTCAGCTCAAAGCCTTTTAAAGGCAACTTTCACTTCAGTTTAGGATTTAATACTGCTCTTCACATTGGTGCTATTAGACAGTAACGAAAACTTTGCTTGAGAAGGTTCTACAGAGCCATAATAAGCCAGTAAGTTACATATGTACCAACTTGACCTGGTATTTGGCCAAGCACATAGAGGGCATGCATCCTCTTCTAGCRTTGCTGCTTTAAAAATGTAACAGGCAATTCATGACTGCGAAATAGACAGTGTCGTCAGATTTTTACCACTACTATAATCCTTGCTGTTATAAATARTTCTTCGGCTTTATTCAACAAACAAATTTCAATATAAGTATTTTTACACAGACACTGTATTTCCAGTCTGGACTTTGTGCTCCTTTAACTTCTTCCAGTTTTTCAAAACCAGGTAGCCCCTGAGGAAGAGCAGCCAGGAAGCACTGCACTCTGCACGGGTTGCCCACCTAGCTTCTCCACATTTGGCCAGCAAAGCCCAAGAAATGACCCTTGCTCAGGCTTGTTCAGTATCTCGTTTTCAAATAGACACATTTCCAAACACAAAACCAAGCTTTCTGTTTGAACTGACTAGAATTTTTATCCTGTCATCATTATAATCCCAATTGTTCAGATCATGCCATRGTATTTATGTTAATAACACATAAGGTATCTGTTGCATTGCTAATCTTGGATCTAAAAGCAAACAGGCTGAAATTTTTACCAGAATTTACACTTTTTTTAAATAAAAATAATAAACATTATCAAATGAGCAAAACTGTTATCAAGTAGACTTTTAAATCTGTCGAAAAAGATAGCATGTTCAAAAGACTCACTCAACCATGCTGACAAAGCTTTATTGCATTTCAATCTATAATTTTCTTGATGAATCCCATCTTAATGTTTTAATTATTTAGTCTGGCCAAGAGTTAGCATGCCTATAATTTCCTACATCCCCTCTTCTCCTCCCTTTAAAACTATGTGGGCAATTTATTCTCACGGTGACATGTTCATTTTCATCCCTGCCTCAGTCAGTCCCTCTAGCTGAAGCTGTATGTGGCATGTGGCAGCAGCTCAGAAATGGCAGCCTTTGAACTTTGAAGGAAAGAGTATGAACTTTGGGCGTGGAGGGCATGAAAGAGATGCAGAAGCTGGTTTGGAACAGATGCCAAATGCCATACAGCTCTCACGCACTACAGATTTTAAGAAAACATCACCTGCCAGCTTGAGAAGATACCAGCACTTCCACTCCCACTGGAAGGACGAGCGCTGAGCCTGCTCTGCAACTTGCAGCCCTCGGTACACGAACAAGCCTTCCTCAGCAGGGAAGCAAGCTGTTATCAGTGCTTCATTGGAGGCTTTCTCAGTTTGTCCCAAGTCCATGATTAGCGACACCTAATTGGCAAGTCAAATGTCAGCCTGGTGGCTACAGAAGTCTCTGACGGCAGGAAGAAGATGGGTTATGTTTGAACAGCCGAAKGAGCACATCTGAAGCTTCCAGGAAATGAAGCTAGCAAACTCTGCTGGAGCCACGTTAATAGCTGCTCCCAGAAGTTTTTAGCTGATCCGTGCAGTGGTGCTCATACACTCTGCTTCTGCAGGACATTTAGGCTCAAAGGAATAGATGCCTAAATACAAATAGCTAGATCTGAAGGGAGTTATCTGACTAGGACAAGGTCTGGATTAGGATTCAGGCTGACAGTTATTGACAAAATACTAGAGCCCGGAATGAGAAGGCGACCTGACTCTGTTTTGGCCTTGTACTGAGAACAGCCCTGTAAATTGTTATTAGGTCCTCTGTTATTAGAGGTATAATTCCAAGATAAACCTAGAATTATAGTGAGGATTCAAGATGAAAGAAGCCAATATGCTTTGAGAGCACTGGGTATCTGAAGCAGGTTAGAGCTTATATCACTAATGAGCAGGTTTGCTCCGGAACAGTATCGTAAATATCATCTTGAGGAATGGGCTCGCTCCAAGGGAAGCGCTGGTGAGCTGGGATTTAGCTTGCTACAGCATGGAATACTGGTCACTTTTAGAAGTGAGATGGGTTCAAGATGCTGGATTAAATCCTGAGGTAGGTATCAGGTTGGTTCAAGGTTACTCTTGGTTCTTGCAGAAACCACTCAGCCAAGACAAAAGAGTTTTCTCCTGGGCTGCCAAACAGAGCTCATGAGGGCTGGCAGGATGAGTCACCAGACTAAATTAAGGTCTTGATCTGATATGGGTGTAGACCTTAAGTTACATTCCTGGGTAGAGGTAGTATCACCAGGTTCAAAAACATTCTGATTAATCCTGAAATCAGAAAGGGCAATGGATTAGACTCCATCTAGACTGGCAAAGGACATTTTACTTCTACACTCCCTACAGATTGTGATTTCAAGAGGAACCCCACAATGAGATATTTGTGAAGTCCTGGATGGGGAGAGTGCCTAATGGGCTTGCAAATCYCAATCATAAACACAACTGACCAGGCTGTGCTGGACCAGATTGTCCACTATCTAGAACAAGAGGAGGAGAATAGGATTTTCATTTCACAAAATAAATGTCCAGAGTGAAGGATTATTCTCCAGTGTTGCCAGGGATCAYACATTTACCAAGTAGTAGGGATCTCAAACACTGACTGTAGCAAAAACCAAGTATTCCCTGAAATCTGAGGTTTATCCAGAACAGAACAGCCTACCTGTAGATTTTTATAATGAACTATGTGTGGAGAAAATGAGCCAGTGGAGAAGGATGACACAAGCATCAGCCAAAATGTCATTCTCATGAGCTATGATCAAACTGGGAGACAACTTAAAAAATTATTACAGTTAATCTCCACATCTTCATCCATAACATTTTCTCCATTACACAAAAAATATGAACCACCTGAGGTATGGAATACATTAGAGTTTTTTAACATGCACAAAAAATAGAGAGCCAATTACAGGGTAAATTCATGTTTGTGGAAAAGAGTGGCAGACCCAGTTAAGTCTGTGAAGGCTAAGGTATAACCCACACTTCAAATTCAGAACTAAAGTCCAGTTCTTATTAGCATTGTTACAATGAAAATTACATACGATCATCACCTCAAATTTATATCACTCAGAAAATAGATGGGAGGAATCTGGACCTTAATACTGGCTATTCAAGCATCCTGCTAAACTCAACAAAATCAGGTACAACAGAAATCATTGCTACATCATCTTAACCTGCACTTACATTATATATGTAAAAATGAACTGTGTATAAATATAATTCTACTACATTTTTTTTTCCTTTTTCTAATGAACAAACAGAAAGGAAGTTCCTGGATACTTTATTTTATATAATCATGACTTTTTAAAGTTGGGACTGATATTTGAGTTGAAGCAAAATGAATCTGTTTTTCCTTTTTACTGAAATAATCAGAAAGAAGATGTAGTTGAAAAACTTACCTTTCAGTCTGCCTGCCTATTGAAGAATAAAAGAAAAATATTAAAGGAATTGTAAGAGTCAGTGCAGGTCAATCTGGGTCATTCTCCAACTGTGCAGTATACCAAAAATAATGACTTTTTTTTTCCCCCTCTGTGTGTGTGTGTCTATGTGCATGCAGGTGTAAGTGTATGTTTCAGGCTGTCACCTCCTTTTCTGGAAATGTCTTTCCTTTCGGAGTTATCAATTCCCTTCCCTTTATTGAAATCTGACTTTTCAAATTCTTTCAATCATCCCCAAAATATTTTGACAGATATCTTGATCTCAGTCCTCATAACACGAATAAAATACCATACTAGTGTCACTTTCTTTGCTGATATATGTGACATTGCAAACTTAAGTTATGATAATACGTTTTATCCCATCAATACCTTTGACTAGTAAGGCTTTACTCTGTCATCTGCAGTTTGGATTGCTATAGTTCACAGGTAGAATTTTGCGATGAGGAAGTTTATGCATTTAAAATATTAAGTGATCCTATGAAAAATTTAAGCTTTATAGTGCTAAGCATATTAATTTTTGTTATTCAGTTGACCAGAAAGAAAATAAAACACATGCACTTGGTGAGATGAAAAGTACCCTGTCTGAAAATAGTGGTCAAAGAATGAAGCCCCAAAGAGAAGGGTAAAAACTGACCACGTGCAGAGCAGGAAGAGTAAAAACTGACCACGTGCACACTTCCAGGATCCTGTAGCAAAGACTTAGCTTAACAGTGCCTTGTATGTAGGCATATCTATTCCTGCCTAAGTATTTTTGTATTCCGAGTAGGAAAGGAGAAAATTAGTCTTTTCCTTCTTGGGGGCCAGAAGTTATTTGGCAGATCTGAGCTGGCTAGATCAAGCAATAGATATAGAATGAGCTAAGGCAGATAATTTCATTTTCCTTCCCTGCCTGCAGGGAATGACTTCCCACACAACAGCATGCAGCATAATGCTGTATTAATAACATGGAGAGACAAGAAGATAGGGTACACTAAGAAACCATTTCCTAGTCTTTAAAGGGAGATACTGTCCTCACGCATCTTCCACTTCACCTTAGCCCCTATTTATAGAAGCRCTCTCTAAAGGGTAGACCAGAGTGCTCCCAATCCCGTATCTGACTAAGCTAATCTGTGAAATAGTTCTTCTACTAAATTCAGTTCATGCTTTTGACATCAAATACYGCCAGGAGCTGTAATGATTTCCTTCCTGAAATTTGTGAAACTGGAAAAACTAGCTAAGCATCCCTGTGTAAATTGTAATGTTAACATTTTATTATGGCTGTGGAAGCTACACATAGGCACAAGCTAAACATAAGATGTCACAAAAATTCTGAAATAAACTTTGATTTTTACTCTTTCAAACTTCAACTTTTCAAGCTGTAGGGTTGGTCCTTGCTGCACAAGAAACCTTTTGGGGCTTTTGTTCCAAAGTAGCTCACACATCTTTAGGTGAGCAGTGAAATAAAACTGCACAGAAGCAATATTCTGGTAGAGAAGTTAATTGCTCTTACGCAAAAATGGGCTGCTGTGAGCTGAAGTGCAGGATGGAAGTTGCTCTTTTGACTGTTTTGGTTAAAAATAAAATTATGAGTTGTCATGTGAGATGTTCAACTTCTAAAAAATTAATTCTAACTTTTAGGACTTTTTTCTTTCTTTTAACTCATCTGGAAAAAGAAAACTATTCTTTGGGTTTCAAAAAATTCAGAAACCTTAGGAACATTACAGAAGTTCACCTACATTACCTCATTTCTTTTAAAAAGCTTAGAACTTCTCCTTTCTTTGTGGAGGTCTTGAACTCCACAGGTTCTTTTCAAACTTTATTGCAAAGCTAACTCCTCTTAAGTCATTTGTTCTGAAGTGGAAGTATTCTTAGAATGATCTAACACACAAGCAGCAGAGAGCAATTGCTTTGGTGACTGATGGGCCAKGCTAACTGAATATTTAACCGTTACTCCTCTGCAGAGCCCCCAGTCTGAGTGGTAGATATTATGAGTGAGCAGATATTTTTGATGAAGYGTTGTTTTCTTTCTATACTAACTTTTTCCCTGATTAATTTTACCTGTTTATTATTGAACTGATCCACAGTGTTTTACACCAAGGTTCATCCACACTACATCTGCACATTATCTATTTATTTTATAATTGCACAGGAGCAAGTCAAAGAGCTTCTGGAAGGGAAAAGCTTGAGTGCAAATGGGCAGGGAGTCCACAGTGTGCTTCTGCAATAGAGACATGCACTGTGTCAGATCTTTCTCCCACCAAGTCCCTAAAGATATTCCTTACGATGGCTATCAAACACTTTGGCTTTAYAGTCTGTTCTATTCTCCAGAGTTCATATTCACCACTCTCAGTGACACACTATAAAAATATGTTTCTTTTGATCAGTGAATCAGCTCACTCATTTGCATGGATTGCTCACAAGGYGTGGTGAATGCAGAGAGAAAGGCTCTGCTAAGCGTTCACATAGGTTTTGCTTCTGGGAGATTTTCCCTGCAGCAAAATGAGGAGATACCCCAGCAGAAACATCATTCATCTGCGGCACCGGGTCAGCCTGACATTCTAAGTACCAGCTTGAAATAAATGATGCATGAAATAAAAATACTAAGAACAGAAAAAGAAGGCTGCCTACCTTGAGGCTAGGTTTAGAAGCTAGTTCTTGGAGTAGGTTCACAGACAATCAATGTTCTTAGGAGCAACTCCTGGACATCTAATTATTTAGTCTTTGCAATGTGCAGTGGGCTATGGTAGGTCACTCTGGTCACTGCCAGAGTCAGGCTACCAGCTCAGGCTCTAAGGCAACAAAATTACCAAAGACTTGAAGAAGTGGCTTTCTTTCTGGGCTTGACAAACACCCAGCACCAGCTTCAGTTTGAAAAAAAAAMCAATGAGTAGATACAGCTGATGATCTAGCATACGTTAGAGACACAGCTTTATTGGATGTTTGACCAGCATTAGAAGGATGATTGAAAGAGCAAATGTGTGTGCACTTAGGATATATGCTACTTGCTGCAACTGGAAACCTTCCCCAGCAGTAAACAGGCACCAACACACACACAGTCAAAGCACAAATAAACTGCAAGAAGATGACCACCAATTTTGGCCTCATCCCATTTCCAGGCAAGAATAACTACAGATTGTTCAGCTGGTGGGGTTTAGAGCCTCTAATATGTTACAAATCACAGAACCAAAGTAACAGCTTATGTTGAAGTCAGGCTCACTGACAACCAGACTACRGTGCATGTAACCACAGCGATAGGTGTGCGCAGGAAAGTGCTTCTTACTCTTAGTTTTGAGAGCTGGCTGTGCATGGCCTTCAGTGTGGTCCTGCTTTCCATCTCTTCTTCTGTTTGGGCAGATTACTATGGCAATTTTTTTAAAGTGATGTGTCTAATCTGCCACTGCCTTTGTCCCTCCTCCTCATGATTCTAGAAAAAAAGCCACAGTACCTGGCAGGATTACAATTTCTTATGCCTATATGGCTTACCTTGGTGATGTGGTGATCTCAGCACAGAACAGAGTCCTTACTTCTCACCGTACCCTGCTCCAGAAGAGGCCTTACTACAAATCCATTCTTCCTCACACAGTGCCTTTTCAGGCTTCCATCTACACTTTGGTAGTTTTTCAAGTTCACATACTGTTCACTTCTCAGTCATCAATCCACTTTAGTCATATTTTCCAGATGTTACAGGATACCAGGATCAAGGGGTTGCACRTCCACATCCTCATTCAGTATGAGAGACACAGGTGGGCTAGAGAAGAGGCTGAGTCTTCCTCCGCAGACCTCACACTTTGCTGGGGCTCTGTATTTCTTCCAGAATGCTCTTTTCATGCCTAGCAGATGTAGAACCACTGCTGGCGTGCCAGGTCTGAAGGATGAAAACAAATGGCTGAGAACAAATGAATGCTTGTTTTTCAGCCAAAACTTCTATGGGCAAAATCGTATTGAGGTTTAGTCATGTGCCAAAGCCAACCTTTCTGGAAGGAAATATAATTTTAAAAATTCATTTATTAGCATGTCATGGATTTTAGCCATCCTCCCTCCCACGTGCCACCTTGCCCTGTTGCTTAGGGTGGGAAGGATCCTGAGCTCGTGACTCCAGGCTGCCAGTTTTTCCAGCAGTAACACTGGCAGCAGGAGGAGGATCGCGCCTTTACAGTTCTGTAAAGCTAGAGACTGACAATCCGCATCAGGTACAGGCCTTCATTTTGTGTGGGCACGCCATTCTGCAGTGTAGGAGGCACATAAGTCATCACTAGAAGTGCCTGTGCATGTTGCAGCACAAATGGTGGTGGAATAGATACTGTGCAGGGGGCCACTCCTGCAGCATGTGCACGAGCTGCCTGCCCGAGGGATCCAGGACACAAACTGCATGAAGGGAGCATGAGACCAAGAGCTTTGTTAAATGTCTGAGGAAAGAAGAAGAGCAGCCTGAGCTTTAAGCAGTTCTTGACACTTTTTCCAATAAAAGCATCTTTCTTGAATAAGGTCAGCCCCAGATACAGTGTATTTCAGACAAAAAAAAAAAAAAAAAAAAAAAGGCTTATCAGACATTTATACAAGAGTATTATTATTATTTCCCTCTTTACATGCCTCCTGACACATCCTAGGGTCACGTTTGCCTTTCTCATCCCCACGTTACGTTCATGATTCATAGTCATTCTGTGACCAACTTGTGCAAACAGGTTCTTCTCTCTCTCATTTATTTGCAGCTAATAACCTTCCAGACTGTAGCAGATTGTGTTAGTTAGACAGTAACTGGCCATATTTTGCATTTCACCCATTTCCTTTACTACAGTCCTCAAAATCATCTAGCTATTGCAGCTTTAAATGTAATGTTATTAGCATATTAATTCGATTAGTTTGATTATCCTCTTCAATTAAGATACTGACACAAGCAATCTACTCTCATTTTTAGTGCATTTTATAATGAATTTTAACCATCTACCGACCTCATTCTTCAGAATGCAAAACAGATTTCTCAAATTCAGCTATCCGAAATGTCTGATTACCATTTCTTTAACAGAAACTGGCTCTTTTACATCAGCAACTAAGTACAGTATAATCTGGGCCTAAATAGAAGTCAAAGGAAAGGGAAACCATGGAGAGAGATGACAGACTGTCATATGGATTTTCTGAATGCATACAAACTGGTTCTCTAGCCATTCTTACCTGTATTATATGGTTCTTAATTTATAGCACATCTGCTATATTGCACTCTGCTGAATTTCTTGACACAGACAAACTAAGAGAAGCATAAGCTTAAAGAAAACTTGAAGCTCTGCAGCATATGCATTGGCAGAGAGCTTATTCATAAATTAAAGAGYTGGCGATACCCTAAATGCATTCTACCAACGAGGCAGAGACAGCACTTAGCTCCTGTTGTGTCTTTTGAGAGGCCTCCTATATTCTATTCTGTATTCAGTAAGTGTTCATGTGTGAACTGAAATACTACTTTTAAACTCCAATCTTACCCATCATCTTCTCTTCTGTCTTGTATGAGTAACTTGGCAGCAGCCTGCATGAGAAAAAGCAGTGTTTGTGAATAGTCAAGCCAGAGCTTGTGCTCGTAATATAGACATATTCAATAACAGTATTCTAATTATTTATATAAATTCTTGCAGAATATTCAGATTGATTACAATAGCACATTTTTATGTCTCCTAGTGACCCCTGCTGCTTAAAGTAGGTATAGCCATTACAAACATTCCTGGSAGAAAAATCAAATGCTTGGGAATCAGCAGCTGTTCTGTGTCCACAGATAATAGAGCCTCTTCTTTGGAGRTTAAAGAATAAAAAGTATTTGTAGTATAAACATTTAACCTCCTTGGCTTTACACAGGCTCTACCACACTTGCTCTCACAAACATTCAGGCAAGCATCAGCCTCATATTCACATGGGGCAGAAGGCTCTGTTACAAGGCATTTKCCAGTGTGGTGCTGCTACATTAGATTTTTCAGAGCCATTACATGCTCTCAGCTCAAGTTTTAAGGGTATTTTAACGTTACAGGGGGAGTACAATAGAAATGCATCTTTTTTCTTTCTTTTTTTTTTTTTTCTAAGAATATATATTATTTTGTAYATACATAATTAAAATACATTTCTGTTACATTTTAAGTTAACRGTATTTTCACTTACCTTTACAGCAAACAAAGACTTCACTTTAAACATTCCTCTTTATTACAGGACAATACTACAGCTAGTGTTATACAGAACACCTGAAACACCCGAAATATATGGATACGGTGGGAACAAGCCAAAGGGAAAGAAGAACATTAATCTCCCTCCTTACTCTTTATTTTGCCTCTCGGGCAAACCAAGAGGCTGCTTCAGTTTGGGTTTTAGYTACCGGCCTAGCGAGCCGGGAGAAAAGCGATTTCATACACCGTTCGTAATGTTTTCCCTGTGCTTCCACGGGGAAGTCCGGGAGCGGGACCGGGGCCAGGGCTCCCTTCTGGGGCGCACCACACGACAGCAACRGTCGCGCGGCGACCGTTACCGGCGCCTTAACGACGCCGCGGGGAGGGGCGGACACGCCCCCGTGGCCCCGCAGCCAATGGGAAGCAGGTCGCGCTCGGCCAATCGCCGGGCGCAGCGGGCTGAGGGGGGCGGGGATTGCGCCGCTGCCGCACGGGCTTTGACGTTGGAGCCGTTGCGGCCGTTGGAGCCGTTGCGGCCGTTGCCATGCACTCCCTCGCGGAGGAGATCCGCAGCTTCTCGAAGGCGAACCTGCGGAAACAGTGCACCAGGGTGACGACGCTGACGGGGAAGAGGATCATCGAGACGTGGCGCGGTGCGTGCGTGCAAGTGGTGGAGGAGACGGCGCCCGGCGATGGCGGCGGCTGCGGTTACGTGCCCGATCTCAGCGCCGACCTGCAAGTCGGCGTCGTGCGGCCCTGGCTGCTGCTGGGTGAGTGGGGCGCGGGGCCGCGGCAGGGCCCGTGTGGAGCCTGTGCCTCGCCTCAGTTACGGTTAATTGTAGGCAGTGAATATTCACTCAGCTTGTTGCAATCAGTGGGCTCCAGTGGGTTCTGACAACTGTTACTGACTGTTGTGGACTTCTTGACAGCGTGATACTATGTGCTGCAAAGTGATAATTCACAGGGTAACAAGTGCACTCTCTTTCCAGGGTCGCAGGATGCTGCTCATGATCTGGAAACAATGAGGAAGCACAAGGTAACACTATGTAGCGATAAAAACCTACCTCCCGTAGCACTTGTTAGTGTATTTCTTCAAGTTGGAAAAGTCTTAAAAATACGCATTCTCAGGGTTTAAGGACAATAATAATAATACATTTATAGTTTTAAAAGGCTGCTGTCCATAAAGCAGCTCCATTCACAGATGGATGAATGTGTGTGAGTTTTACAAGGAGTTGTACTTTGCTGCAAGACTCATGATGGTTTAGTGCTATTTATAGAATAGATTCTGGCCTTGCCATATGTGTTTTTTTTTTTTTTTTTAAGTGTCAGATGCGAAGCAGAGTCAATCCCACTTGCTTTTATGGGAATGGTTATAAGGAGAAACACAAAGCAATAACTCTTAAGTCTGTCCTGAACATCCATCTTTTTACTCTTCTCTGTCAGGGTAATGAGGTGATATGACCTTCAGACCATTGTGCTTCTGCAGGACAGGGCGTGCACTGACCTGGCATCCATTGCCATCTAAATGTCACTTCGACGTACATTAAAATAATCCATGACTTCGCCATTCCTTGAACAGAGCAAAGATGGCAGGAAGCCAGACTTGCTCTTTTCTGCCAAGTGCTAGTTTACTCTGAAATTCTTGTGCTCCAAAAAACATTACTGGTAAGTCAGGAGAGGGAATGTTACTTTCATGGGCTAGCACAAGCTTACAGTTTGGGGGATTATGGGATGATCTGTGCTATAATTCCCATTGGTTTCTCTTCTGTTTTCCATCTGTACACTGACAACCCTCTTTTCTGTTTAAAATCTTTCTTCATTCTGCATCTTTTAATTAAATTGATCATTTAATTTCCTTTCATTAGTGATGAGGGGGAAATAAAAGAACTCTTCAGTCACATGATTTGTGGCAAGAGTCTAAAGCTTATTGACCAAGTTGACTGAGTGGGTTGGTGCAAGTGAGTATCCTCAGATAGCAGATCTCAGCGTCACACTAAATTTGGGGACATTAACATTCATCCTCAAATGTTGTGGTATTTATAGTCACTTTACATTTCTTGGCACTTTTCTGCAATAATTTAGCTCTGTCAAATTCAGTATAGTTAATCAGTTTCTCACTATATCTGACAAATCAGTAATTTTTTTTTTTTTTTTTTTTCTGTTGGGTAGTGTGTCTTTGTCCTGTGAAATAGAGGTTTTGTTCCATCCAGAGTTGTGTAAACCGCAGTGATGATTAAATAATTATTACTGTAAACTGCAATGAATTTTGAGTACCTGCCTGGTGATCTGACCTTAAATAAATGCAAGGTATGACTCTAAGTAGCTTCAGTAGATGGGAAGTTTCCTACTTGAAATGCCTTAATTGATCTAATGATGACTTCCAGATTGTTTATATGAAAGAGAAGAAGTAAAATACCTTTTAATACTCAGGGAAACTGTTTTTTTGGAAGAAAACATACTGTAGACAATACATGTATATGAAACTGAACAGTGCAATTGTGTGAGTTACAGTCTAGGTCTAAAGAATAATGGTTGTTAGTGCTCATTTGCTTGCAGTCTTCAGAAAATCCCTTTTTTTTTTTTTTTTTTTACTTAGGTTACCCATGTTCTAAATGTAGCATATGGAGTTCAAAACGCCTTCCTCAATGACTTTGTATACAAGAGCATCTCTATTCTGGATCTCCCAGAAACTGATATCACCTCCTACTTCCCAGAATGTTTTGAGTTTATTGAGAAAGCCAAGATCCAGGTACAGTATGTGAATAATTAATGCTACTAGTTATCCTGTTTAGATTATTTATTACCCTATTTAAAATCTAAAACAAAAAAGAAAGCACGGTACCAGATGAATACCTTTGTCATTGCTTTTTTAAGAATTCAAGCAGTATCTAAGCATTCCTAGAAACACAACCGTGCTATTAACCCCTGTTCCTTATCAATGTTACTTTTTTTTTTTTTTTAGAATGGCTGACTTGTATGTTATAGAGACATGTTTCTTTAATGAAGCTGGAAGTAAAGAAGTCCCATCTATGTCTAAGTTACTGTATCTCACAGAGGGAAAAGGAAAATCTTCTTTGCTTTTTAAATATCCATCAGAGAGGTTATTTTGAATTACAATGATTATTAGATGAATAAGGCCCATATAGATCTTGCAGTTCGTCAGCTGCCATCTACTGTCCTTGTGCTTTTCCTTGACCATCCAATGAAAATCCAACACGTTCAGCTATGAAACCACATACAGTTAGGTACAAAGATTATCAGAGGAGTCTTTGTAGTCTTAGAGCCAACCAGTGATTTTAACTACTACTAAAATCCTTAAAAAGCTGTGACATAGTGGTGTGAAAGGACTGTTTTGCAGGATGCTTGGCAGTCCTATATATGACCAAGATAATCCCTGGGTCATGTTTATAAAATCTTGACTTTATAAAATCTATTTTAAGAACAACTCTTGGTATAAGCACAATGTCTTGACACCAAACCTTACTGGGCATTATTCCACCATATCTACCATTTTCATTATTTACATTGTTGGGCATAAAAGAAGATAATCTTGTACCKGCTTTCTTTGTGTCGCAGTGTTCTTTCCTTCTCTCATGCATCATTTACAAGCTATGTGATACAGTTTGTCGCTGAATGACCTTTCTGAGGTTTCTAGTTACGGTTTCCACTTCATTTCTAAATGAGACTTGTCATTCATAACTGCAACTGTGCTACTGTTCTGCCTCYGGTGTTTATGTTGCAGTTACTATTTAGTAAAGACATCTTCCTGAAACCTCTTCYGGCAATATTAATAGTTTTGTATTGGAAGAGTTGGACAAAAGATAATTGCTAACCACAGATATTTTCCAGGAGCAGTTGATGAAGCATGTGATAGAAGTGTGTGAAAAGTTGGGTAGAAGGCTGGGCTATAAACATCAGAATAGGGAGTTCTTAWTAAGAAGAGATTGGTATCTGCTATCTATTTTTTGTTTTTATTTTGTATTTGTATCTAATACAAAATTAATAGGAAATATATGCCCAAATCATCCTTATATATAAAAGCAACAGGGTTTAGCAAAGGAGGATAAATGTGCTCAGTGGCAACTGGTTTATTGTTGGGTATGTGTTTTCTGTTTTGGAATCAGTATGGAGCTTTTAATATCTATAGATTTCATATTAAGTTTCCAATACTTGTTAATATCTACTTACGATTATCTCAAATAACTTGTTTCATTTGTTTCTTGTAGGATGGTGTGGTACTGGTTCACTGTAATGCAGGAGTCTCTCGTGCAGCAGCAATAGTCATTGGCTTTCTAATGAATTCAGAAGGACTCAGTTTTGCTAGAGCTTTTTCTTTGGTGAAAAATGCGAGGCCTGCTGTTTGTCCAAACGCTGGCTTCATGGAGCAGCTTCACAAGTACCAAGAACACAGTAAAAAGGCAAATGGAAGCATAAATGATCATGACTGATCAAGAGGGAGATGTGAAACAATCTGTTTTGACTACACGGTGACAGATGTTGGATGCACTTTAATCTTGCAGTCTTTTTGCATTTGCTTTTCACGTGAGGTTTAAATTCATTCTTCACACRTTTTTTTTCTGTATTCCCTCCCCGCATCTTTCTTTGTCATCTAGTCTAGAGGCCAAATGGTGTCTTATTGACTTCAGAGATGATTTGGCCCAAGAACAAGCTCTTTTTAGAGCAATGAAAGGAAAAGTTTTCCTCTCTTTGTAGTGTTAGAGAAAAAGAAGGATGGGCTTTACTGAACCATTGGACAACAAGGCAATTGGACTAGATGATCTCTAGAGGTCCCTTCCAACCTTAGTTATTCTGTGAAGGCAATAAAGGACATGAAATTATAATTGAGATAATAAAGTTGTCCTGTTTATTTTAATGCTAAGCCAAATCTTTATCCATTCTAGCTGATTGTAAAAAAAAGAAAGAAAATTTTACTGAAATTCATGGGCTAGCCACCTGATATTTTTTAGAAATTAAACCAGATGGTCTTTTGATGGAACTAAAAAAGGCAGGGAGTGCTCTAGTGCTTTATTTCTTTTTACTGTTTTCCATCCAGTAAAGATTTGAAGTGCTGGAAGGAGGCCATCAGCTTTTATTTTGGCATCTTTTTCAGCCGAGATAGGATAAAAGGCTTAAAGYGGCTTCCCTCCACGTGGCTGCCGTTTCTTTGGGCGCAGGCCCCACAGCTGCGCTCTCACTGCCCCAACAGAAGCGCRGCGATGGCAGAAACAGCTTTGCCTTTTATCTCGTAACCCCCCGTGGGCTGCGGCGGCCACCTTCAGGTGGCTGCACATTTTGAAGAGCAGAGTCTGTAACGACTTGGTTCGTGCAGCTCGTGTCTCTGCGGCCTCGCGGGCTGCCTGCCCTGCCCGCGGCAAGGCCGAGCACCGCGCCGCGCACCCGCTGCGGATCCCCCTCCCCGCGGCCCCGCCCTAACGGCTCTCCTGCCTCCCCCGCCACGGTGACGCAGCCGCTGCCTCCACCAATGGGGTGCAAGCGGCTGGGCCGCGGTTTGTGACGCTCCGCCCAGGGGGCGGGGCCCGGGGGCGGGGCGCGCGCCGTTATGTGGCCCTCGGCGCCACCAGGTGGCGTATGGCGTGCAGGTGGGTGGGCGAGGCATGTCCCGCCTCCCGGAAGTGACGGGGCGGGCGCTTCCGCTCCGTTTGAAAGCGCCTGGTGGAGCTGCGCGCGGCCGTTTCCCGCCGCCATGGCCGCCTTCGCCGCGGAGCCGCCGCTCGCCGGTGAGAGGCGCCGGGCGCGCCCGCTGCCCCCCGGCCCGCGCGGGCAGCCCTGCGCGCGGAGCGGCCTGCGCGCGGGCGGGGCGGCCCTTCTGAGCTCTGTCTCCCCGCAGGCGCTGAGCCCATGGCTCTCGGCTCGCCCACGTCTCCCAAGCCGGGCGCCGGCGCCCAGTTCCTCCCGGGGTTTCTCATGGGGGACCTGCCGGCGCCGGTGACGCCGCAGCCGCGGGCCGCCGGCGGCCCCGCCGTGGGCCTCGTGGAGATGAGGTCTCCGCTGCTCGCAGGTCAGGCGCCGTCCCCGTGCGCGCGTCCCTTTGCGGCCTCTTGCCGGCTTCAGCCCGGGGAGCKCTGCAGGTCGTGTGTCAGTGAACTCAAATGTGCTCTGTTTGCCTTGGCTGAGCTGCTCACAGTAGGCTTGAGCTTAATCAGTGTTTTTARTAGATAATTTTGGCTTCAAGAGAGGCAACTTCTACCGAGAAGGTACTATGAAATTAGCTGACAAGTTCAACTTAGCCTAGTATTTACCAATGAGTTGCATATGCTTATCTGTATGTGCTTACACACACATCTGCACATGCTGTGAATCCGGGATGTGGCCATCTGATTTTTCWTTTTGCTCAAAGCGGCTAGATGTTTGCTGGCAGAATCAATGCCACCTTGTGGAAGCTGTTGACCTCTCTGTAATGAGCTATAAAAAGCCAAGTACAGATTTTTAAGATTCTTAAAATTCAACGGAGAAAAAAAATCTTTAATCAGACAGAATTAAGTAATTGCTATAATATTTGGCAGTCTTAACGTCTACTGTATTTGAGCTGAAGTAGCAATATTTCTTTTTCTTATCTGTTGGAGATGTTTTTCTTTTTCCAGGCACCTTCCCTCCYTTTCCCTTTAAATACAGCCCTCTTCAGAAGTTAAAACAAGCAGGTGAATTTCACCTCATTCTTTTTTTTTTTTTTCCCAAAAAAGGCTTGTTACAGCAACAGAGTATCAGTTACGAAAACCAGGCAACCAGTAGAAAACTCACAGGGGTTTCCTGAAACATGTAGATAAGTGTTTTATTTAAACTTAGAGTGAGAGCCTTGAAGTTTTAAATGACGCCTGTGTAAGGAGACYATTTGATAAATACATGCTAAATATAAATCCTGCACAGGGCATTCTAACCTGGCTAGTTTGACAGGTCAGATGCTTTTGCAAATTGCCGATGAGAAAAGAAATGGTCTTTTGTGTCTGAATTTGCTGGTGAACTTTCAAGAACAGGACAATGGAATAAAAATCACAGACTTAGGGTTTTTGTCTGCTGCTTTTAAGTGCAGGTGGCTCTCCCCCCCAGCCAGTAGTCCCCACACATAAGGATAAAAGTGGCGCTCCACCCGTTAGAAGCATCTACGACGARTTGTCCAGTCCTGGGCTTGGACTGACCCCTCTGACCTCAAGACCAGTAAGTGGTTTATGGTCTCACTTACTCTCAGCAGAAGATGTGAGGTAGATTACTGCTTCAGTGAAACTCCTTCAACACACTTGTTTAAACAGATTTGCCAGAATGCCTGAGTTTTCAGTTCAGTGTTGTTTGGTCTGGTTGTTTTGTGTGCTTGCTCCTTTATAGCAGTTSTGCAGTAATGGAGCTTTTTTTCTGTAACTGTTGTTTCTCAGTAGACAGAGAATGAAAAACTGAAATCTTGTCTCTTAATATTTTTTTACATGACATRCAGGCTTTTTGCAACTCGTAACCTTCTTGTATGTATATTCAAGTACTTGTGGCTTCCAGTGTGCTCATAGAAGCATTACTTCACAGAAGTAGAAGAGATTCTTTGCTGAGTAAAATAAGTTATCAAACAGGCTGGAGGGTACAGGTCATCTCGAAAGAGCAACAGTAAAATTTCTAAAAGGTTATATGAACTTTTACTGCTCATCTCATCTGAGTAGTCAAGTAGTAGTTGTTTTCATTGGCCATGATTCCTCTTGTGCAAGAGCACATGTGAACATGAGAATGTGCCCTGCAGTCCTGTCCTAGTGCTCCTTTTGAAAGGTAAATTTCCTAGTAAAAAAAACTAACTGCATTTCCTGTGGTTTAGGAATCTGTTGTAGATTCCAGCTTGTAATAATTGAAGCCTGCTGTGTAACCAATCTATCTAACAGGCTACTAAAATGTATTAAAATGCAAAAATGGTGTTGAGTAGATAGTGGGGAGAGTGTGGGATTGTGGTGGTTGTGTTAAATATACATATGAATGGATCCGATCTGAAGAATGAGGAGGAGTAACATAGGGCAAACTTAACATTCTTGTCTGATGTTAGGCTGCCTGAAAACAGTCTTCTCTGATACGATGATCTTCTGAGAATGATTTGTTACTTTCTGTGTTTTAATGCAGTCCAGCTTCTCTGTAACACAGAGCCCGTTGGTTGGAACCATGCCCTCAACTCCTGGAACAGGTTGACATCCTCTTAAAATAGACTACTTATTGCCTTTTTTGCTACACAGTTAAAAATCATCACTGTCCAAGCTAGATCAGCTCCTTGCTAATTTGCAGAGCAGTCCCRTCTTTCTTGCTAGCTAAGGTATGTGGAGAGGAAATGCCTTCCTCCCCATGACACTTGTTCCTTGTGGAGAACTTGTACTGATTTGAGCACAGAGGTGGCTTTACTTGAGTAAAGCTACTGACATTATGGGTGGCCTTCCCGATTCATAAGGCTTCCTGCTTTCTGAGTGAGCCCATGGCTTCTTGCTAGGCTTAATTCTGGCCRTTCTTATTCCAGTTTGGCCTCTGCATTAAGCTGCTTCTGTTTGTGCTAAAGGGAAAGCAGGGTAGCTAGTCACAGACCTTGAACATGCTTGCAGATTCAAATGACTTAYTGCTTCTCTGCAAGTAAATATCCACCATATTTTCCATATACAGATAAAGTGTGTGATGTTGGGTCTGAGTTCATCCTTTTAGGGTGGGTATGTTTTTAAACTTTTGTATCTTGCAAAAGTAACTTACTAAAAAATTCTATTTCAATTCAACAGCCTCAAATGTATTCAGTCCTGCAAGTATTGGACAGCCAAGAAAGACTACTCTGTCTCCTGCTCAGCTGGATCCTTTTTATACCCAGGGTGATTCCCTAACCTCAGAAGATCAGCTTGATGACACATGGGTAACTGTATTTGGGTAAGTTGATTTCTGAAGTATTAGAAATGATGGACAAAAACTTGACAGCATGAAAAGAAGCTGCAGTCAGACACTGCTCTTAACTGGTGTTCTCCAGTTGTACAACTGTTGTCAAAGCCAGCACATAGACATAGTTGTTATTTTGGTGAGGCACCTCTTTGCTTCAAATGGGAAAGGCAATATTCTACCATTGATTAGAGTAACATTATGCAAGTCAGTGTTTATAGGAGTGGCTTGTTTTGCACTTCTAGAAACTTTTCATAAGGATGTAGTTTAGCACCAAAAAGCTTGGTTCTCACTACGTTTTCTTGGATCATTTATCCTATGTTTGAATTTCAGATTTCCTCAAGCATCAGCTTCGTATATTCTCCTCCAGTTTGCTCAATATGGAAACATATTAAAGCATGTGGTATGTTGCTGAGATTTATCTCTGAAAATGTTCTTTCATGTTCTTTAAAAGGCTAAATTTTACAGCTTCCATTTAATCTCATGCAGATGTCCAACACAGGAAATTGGATGCACATTCGATATCAGTCTAAGCTGCAAGCCCGAAAAGCCTTAAGCAAAGATGGAAGAATTTTTGGTGAATCTATTATGATTGGTGTCAAGCCTTGTATAGACAAAGTAAGTTAGCAACTGCTTTCACTGAAATATAAGGTATTTTGCTTTGRGACTTCCTTTTTACTTCTTTGCTTCCTTAATTTGTTTTGAACACAAGGCATAGGTAGATAGGTGTAATTATAATAATTACAGGTATAATCTATTAAGACTAAAAATTAAGTATTTTGAGAATATGCCTTCTACACCTCTATGATTGTGGAAGTTACCATAATAAGCAACTGTTGGCCTTCAGAATAAAGAAGTTAAAATTGTTAAGACTTGGAATCATTGGAGATGAAACAGTTTCTCAGATTGGAACTTGAGGTGCTTGAGGCTGTGTTAGATGTAAGGTGGTGGGTTGAAATTGTCACTGTCCTAAATTGTCCCTTTTATGTAAYTTGATGCTTTSAAATTTATCTTAGTATATTACACAGCATTTGCTAGTTAGACCAATTCTGATCATATCACACTTTCTATTGTTTATTCCTTTCCTTGTAAATGATGCTTGAGGTTTGTAAATTATTGCTTCAATCTGATTTTATTGTAAAATGTTAGTTCCTGCTCATGGATTGTGTTTATACAGATAGATAGTATGGTACTGTGCAGCTTAGGTAAATGACACTGTCATTAATTCCACACAGATTTTTTTTGGTCCCTTCTAAAGGGATACTACACTTGAGAATAATGCAGTAAAAGTTTACTTTGACTCTTGAGAGGAGGAYTGTAGGAATAATAAAGCTGATGATTAACTTCAGCTTCTACCAGTCTTAATTTTCTTATGTTGGTTAACATTCACACATTATAGTGTCCCTTTCCTTCACAGATACTTGATAAGGCTTCCTGCCTCTCTTACTCTTTGTTGAATGCTGTTGTGTAGCTTTTTACTTTTGTTACATTAACTCTTTTTTCTCTTTTCCCCTAAGAGTGTGATGGAAAACTTCGAAAGAAGCTCGACAACCTCAGTGTCTTCAGTCTTTACTCCACCTCCAAAATCCTTAGGCTCACCACTACAACCTGCAAATACTACAAGAATTTCTACAATGAGACCTCTAGCAACAGCATATAAAGCTTCCACTAGTGACTACCAGGTATTTTAAGAGGGGATAGCAAAAAAGGGGAAATAGCAAAAACCCTTCTTGCTTAATTGTTTGAGGTTAGATGTGAGTGTGGCCTTGGTCTTTATCGTCTGTCATTTCTTATGGCAAGTGCTGTTTTGAATGCCAGCTTAGTCTGCTCAACTGCTAAAAACCGTTTGAAAAGTGATTTGTTGCTCTTCCAGTGATTAAGGGTTGTTTTGGAAGTTACTTTGCCTAATACAGTAACACTTGAAAAGAGACATAATGAGTATGAAGAGTTAACTTTATGTTGATTGATTCTTGCCTCTTTCTCCTGCCTTCTAGGTGGTTTCTGAGAGACAGACTCCTAGGAAAGATGAGAGCATTGTATCTAAAGCAATGGAGTATGTGTTCGGCTGGTAATAAACAAGAGGAAGTAACTTGTTAGGCACGGTTAGCGTTTGAAATCTGCTACCAGCATCGTTGGTTAGTTGTATAACCTCTGATGGCAGCACTTGTCACTTCCATCTCACCTGTTATGCCTTCTCTGGATTCAGCAGACATGTAGCTTGCACTTTAAATGGTGGCATGTGCACATGGTTTTAAATATAATCAGTGTAAATTAAGTGCTGCATTTTCGTTTGTGCTGTGATTGCATGACTAAAGAAACATCAGCACTGACTTCTTTCCTGTAATTACTTTTTGTGAATTACTTCCCAGTAAGTTGGAAATACTTAAAATGGCAGCTTTATATACCAATGCCTTTAATGCTTTAATTTTATTCATCACTTCTTACGCAAAAGATGATGGGCTTGATATGGGCTTTTTGCAGGAAGGACACTATGTACAGCTGGTTCCCAGGGATAAGGACTGTTTTTAGTATATATGATCTTATTTTTTTATTTCAATTCATTGCTGTTTTATAATTTTCTCTGGTGCCCTCTTATAAATGCCATAGCAATCTTTTAATTCTTTATTCCATGTTTTATTAATAAAGCTGAATAAAATTGTTGTCTTAAGTTGTTTTTAAAGAATATGGATTCTATTAAGAAATATTTGTTACTCTTACTAGAGTGGGTTATCAGGCTGCCTCTTCCTTATTAGAGTGTTATCAGCAGAACAGTTACTACTGACTCTTATTGAAGTAGTAGCAGCTGGAGGTAACACCAGGCTGGGTTTCAATGCATATTTTCAGGAGGAGGTATTTCAGTGCACTGCATAGCAGTTAGCACACTGTAGCTTTCTAAGCTGCAAAATGCTCATCTGAAGTAGCTGAATTAAAAAATGCAATGTGTTGGTGAACAGAGCTGCTTTTGTTCCAGGTTATTCTATTTTCTGAGCTGCATGCTAAATTTTTTGAAACAGAACCCCTCTCCCCTCCCCTGGAAATTATTACTTGAAGAAGAACATCTCTGGTAATCATGGTCTTAGACTAAGTTTGTAAGAAGCTTTTTTTAATCTAGGAATGGAGTAACTTTGTTCCTGTACTTGCGAGTCTACATGTAACTAATGCTTCTTTCATGCATATTTTTTTCTGCATGTGGCTGTTTGAAGGTGAGTCAACATTAGAATATAATTTTGGATCATGAGTGTGTTCCTGAGGTGAATCTCCATTCATACTTACTTGTTGTGATTTGGTTCAAACTTCAGTGTGGTCTCAAAGTTGATCACCTGAACTCTTTTCAGATGAAATCAGATTGCAGGTTAGTCCAGCTGGATGCCTAGCCAACTGAAAATGCTGCATTCCGTTTACAGGATTAAACTAAAGATGGTTTYGAGTAAAATTGCAGGACTCAGGAAGTGAAGCTCGCAGCATCTGCTGTGGCTGGGATGTACTACTTKCTATTGTAAGGTGCCTTGATTTGCYGTAACRATGTTCYTTGGAGCTGGARGAGTAGGGAGAGGAAAAATACCACCCTGGGGTGGCATGACCATATTTATTGGGGATATGGTGGTAATCTYTTGCCACTTGCTTTTGTCATGGGAGAACTGTGATGCAATTGCTCATTTTTTTTTTTCCATTTTTCTGAAGTTGGCTGGATTTTGGAACATAAGAATCTGAGCCAGCCTGGTGATATCAGGTTTTTAAATAAGATTAAATGAATCTTACTCATTATTCTGTGTTTTCTTCTGTGAGTTGCATTGCAAAACAGTTGTTGTGCCCTTGAAAGCTATAATGCAGGTAGAATTTAGTTATTTGAATTCAAGTAGTTGAGGATGAGATTGAACTTGGCTGAAGTAAGCCTAATGCTGAATATATAAGAAGTCCTGATAAAGTCATCAGTATATTGGCTGAACTGCTGTATCAGTAAGTATCAGGCTTAAAGCTCTGCTCTAAGGTGTTGGGTRCTCAGTCCAACAGGTGCCTGTTTGTCATAATCTCCTGTTTTCRTAATTTTAGATTTTTTTGCCTCTTCCTTTATAGTGAGAGTGCATGAGACTAGTATGTGTTCACTTTTTATAAAGGTAGTGAATAAGAAGGTTTAGAACAGGTGGATTTCTGTGTTTCTGTACAACAGCAATGCTCTTCAGTATGGTTTCTGCTGGTAAAAATTCCCCTTAAATGTTTATTTAGTGTCATGCACTAGGTGAAACCTAGTCTAACTGGTAATTCTGGTTCAGCAGTCCAGAGATTACTGGACAACTTGATTTCATTGTGTTCCTGATCTGTTCTTCCTAACTAAACCAGRGTACAGAGACTGTGGGCAAATGGCCATGGGAAGATGCCAAAGAATGTGCAGAGTACAACAGAAACACTTTTTTCTGTAACTAACTTCATGGCTAGTTACTGTTAGTAGGTAGCACTGCATTTAAAAATAAAGTTCTTTCCGTTTTAGTCCTTTATATGCTGCTCTGCAATAAGGAGGAACGCTATGCTGGCTGTGACTTAAGTGAAAATGAAGGGCTTGAGCTAGTACTGGGTACCACACTCAGTCCTGACCTCAGTTCTATTGGAAACCTTGTAAGACTAGGGACTCTGATTTATCATTGGAGCATGGCCTTTAAAAGAGAACTTTCCTGACTATTTTCTGTTGTCTGTCTCAAACACTAACAAGTTACTCAGGGATTTAATTCACTCAATAGCAAAATCTATGTAGTTTTAAATTATAAAAAAAACCCTTTTTTTATGGCAATTTCATTACCATTTTAACTGGTGTGCTTTTTTAAAGACAGGCAGCATTATCTTCCTCTTCTTTCTTGCCATGCCTCTAGCTTTGATCTATTTTGTAACTGAGTGATGTGCATTTGGGTAATGCGTTGATGAAATGAGGCTCAGATGTTAGAGCGCAGCATATTTGCTACACTTTCTCAAGTCTTCTTGTCGCAGGCATCTATCTCCACCTTGTGGCAATTCTTCCAAACTCTTTAGTTCCTGGCCCTGTAGCAGCTTAATTGATGCTGTATGCGGTGTGCAGGGTTTAATACCTTATCTAGGCAGGGCATAAATAGTACTGAGAGAACAACAGTGCTCAGATGTCGTTGAGTTATAGGTGAGTTTACCAAGTRTAGGAATGGCATAATTTAGAAGCATTTTAAACTTTATTAAATGGTTCTTAAACTTATTTAAAATGTTATCAGTATTTACTGATTTTGTAATTTTGAGATGGATAATCTGAACAAGTGGTATCTTAGCAAAAATGCTGTAAACCCCATCTTGCATAAACATAACTGGCTTTTCTAGTACTGCGTGAGTGCATGATTGAAGTCTTGCATGGRTTTTCTTCTCTTAGACTCCAGATGTCTAAAGCACAGTTGAATCAACAGGAATGTTGTATTGTTTAAGTATGTTTTAAAAACTGTAAGCTCCCTTACTGTTCAATTGATAAATAAAATGAAAACAAACTGACTTACAAATAACTGAGATGAAGCAGTTGATTTACTAAATTTCAGTCTGCAGGTGAGAAGCACTGGAAAAACATCTTGCCTAAAGCAAAACCTTCAGTCCTGAGAAATTCAGCTTCTTGGTAATGCTACATTTCTTTTCAGTTGCATGAGCAGGGGTAAAAGGTGTCCTTCTGATGTGTTTCATGGTGAGTATCAYAGTGCAAACAGTCCGACTATGAAACTTCTGTTAACATTTACAAAAGAGCTTAGCATTCCAGGAGGGAAAAAAGGTTTAAGTTAATCATGAAACAAAAACTATCAGTGATGGCCTAATAGAAAGTCCTAAGTTAGTGAAGGAACTTTTGAAAATGAAAGCATAAATAATAACTTTGGAATGTATTTTGGTCTTCTGTTCAGGGGACTGTTTCAATCGATTACAATTTAGTTTAATCTCTATGTGGTGTTTCTGTCAATACATCTTCCACATTTTTTCTGCAAGCAAAACTCCCATTAAAATGAAGAACATTAGTCTGATAAGAGCTGTAATTTGTCTGTCATCTTTAATGCCAGCTAATRTCTTGACTATCCTTCAAGCTTCTCAGTTTTAAGTGAATTTACAGCTTAAATAGTTTACTGCTGGTAGAAGCAGATGCAGATCGCTGTAGATGAAGCAAGTGGTGTAGATGAAGATGGTGTGTTTTTAGTCAGAAACAGTCCTTTGTGCCTGAAGGTAGAGAAGCTCTTAACAGAAGCAGCATGAATGTCAAGGGTTGCTTGGAACAGGCTTTTATTTGCTCACCTGTTTTATCACATTCGTTCTGAACTATATTGGGTTTACTCAGATTTTAGTTATTTTTTGCACAAATCTTCTGAATTCATTGTAGGGATGATTTTAATTTTYGGTAGGTAAAAATATTTGAATTTTTTTCCCTCTCCATGTGCAGCAGCCACCTAATTAGCATCTTGTTTTGATGCCATTGCCATTGAAGCCCTGAGAGTTCTGCAGCAATGGACGGATTCTCACAGAACTGTTCYAAAAACACACCATGTTTTTTCTTGTTTTGGAGAATCTTTCCAACCCCTACTGTTAAGAAAGTAACCTTGAAAATAGAGACGAAGGTAACCTCACATATACAGATGCCTGTGGATAGTCTGAAAACATCAGCTCTGGAATGTGGATTATCCCGGCCATCTCAGTGGATTACTTGCCTTCAAACCTAAAGACAGGAATGTCTTCTAAATTCATTATCAGGTAAAACACTCTAGCAGAATATCATAGTGACAGCTGATTTTTCCAAATGTGATCATGCTGATTTTGGTCCTKTTACCAAAAATTCTTCTGACAACTAAGTGTATAGCTTGTTTGGAAGRGGCATGGTTACAACATGAGGTGTCATGAGTTACAGCACTGTAAAATGAATTTATTAAACAGTTTAATTTGTATATTAATGATATACATTATTACTTTAACCGCTGTCAGCTTTGTCTCCTGCTCAAGAATGCTCAGTAATCAAGATGCGGGAGAGCTGAGTTCTTGCTTCTTCTGTGAACCCCTAAGTATGGTTATGGCTTCTCAGGACAGGCATTTCCCACTTGCATTATTAGCTGTTACCTTATTCTCAGAAAAGCTGATGAAGGAGCTTAAACTTCCTCTAAGAATACTTGCTGCACTGTGACAGATTTTTCTGGCAGAATATGCTTTGTGTGGCAAGTATTTCAATATATTGGTCTTTCTCACTGAGCACCTGTGCTTCTCTAAATACAGACTTGTAATGTGTGGGGTTCATCTCCTGGATGCACTGGGGACAAAATCTTGCCTCTGACCTCAGAACATTGAGCTGCATGTTTTCCGAGCCTGGAATATAATAGCATGCAGTATCACATTTCAATAGATAAAATGCAGTTAAAATTGCCTATCATGGGCTACTGTAATGGGCTATTGATTTTAGATGCCATGCTTTTGGTTTCTTTGTAAGGGACTTGTGCTTGTGAACATACAGGAATGTTCATTTGCAGAGTGAAGGTGAAGGAAAAACTACCCGGTGGTCAAGTTTATATACAGGCTAGGGACTTATTACCTTACTGATCCAGATGAGTGCAGTATTAATGATGGAGTTTGCATGTGCCAAATAGTGTAATCTTTGTTATTCCTGTCCACCTCTTTGAAATAGCCACTTTTGAGCTTCTTGCAGTTGGAGTGCTTTAGGATGAGAAGTGTCAAATGACTTTTACCCAACCCAAGGAATGGGGCAGGGTGAGTGTACATCTTAACTTAAAAGCTTAAAACACCTTTCTAAAAACTCTTAGTTACATAACTAAGAATGTGGTTGCATATATTTTAAATCTGCTATACTTTAAATCTACTTTTGTAGACAACTAGTTGGCCTAATAGATGCACAATAAATATCTGTAGTATTAAAGGTTTAGAGGAGTAGGTGGTGATGTGACTTTTCAGCTGCTCTGTCCATTTAGCCCTTGCTGAGCATCCTGCTGGTTAGGCCTTAATGTGCTTTTTTCTGTGCTGTAAAAATAACACGATAAAAATTGTCACCCCTGTCCAGTCTGAAGTACATGCAATATGATGGAAATAGCAATGCTCACAGTGGAAATAGCTCACAGTGGAGTGAATGCACACTGTTTTCTCCAGTGAACACGTCCGAGTGGTATTCTGTGTGCCAGTTATTTATTTGCTGTATGAAGAGTTTTAGTAATTAGTGGTGGTTTTTGTGGATGTCGG